ATCTTCCAGCACTGCCATTGCTGTCCACTGGCACCCGTCACCACGGCCTGTCCCTGACGGGGCTCTGTGTACAACGAGGAGGGAAATGCCCTTCCCCAGGGCTGCCTTTCCCTGACAGTGCTTGACTCGGTTCCCTCATCTCCCCCTGAGGTGGAAGCCCAAACCCTGAGCTCCCCGCAGCGCAGCTCCCCTGGAATAATAAGCTAGTTGTGATTTGTCCTTTGATGCTTTCGCTCGTGCTGTTCGCGCTGCCGGATGAACCCGGTGACGATGTGTTTCGAGGCCCTGGGCTGTGCTTTGCTGCTTGTGACCCCCCGCTCTCCTCCTCACCCCGTGTCCCCCCCCTCCCCTCAACCCAACCACTCACCCACGTCCTGTGGGTACAACGTGGCTGTTCCTGCTCCTCAGGGCACAGCTTGGGTCTTACCCTCCGTGTCCCGGTTTGGCACAGCTTGGGTCTTACCCTCCGTGTCCTGGTTTGGGATGCTCCGTGCTCTGCCGTGTCACCCCCTTCGAGGGCTCTGATGTCCCCGGCAGCTTTGTGCTCGGAGAGGAGGTGGTGGCTGCGTGAGTGCTCCTGAGAATTTTAGTTCCTAGGTATATGCAATAATAAATAACTTGCCACTTCAGCTGTTTGTTACCAGCAGTAGTTCTCTCTGCTCTTTCTGTTGATGTTTACTAATGTCAACCCAGTATTTGTTACTGTAAGAGGATTTTTGTTTGTTTGTTTCTCGGTTTTTTTTTTTGTACGGTACTTCAAAAAAAAAAAAAAACCCCACCAAAAAAAAATCAAACCCCAAAACCAACAACAACAACGACAAAAAAAGAAATAAATAAAGAGAACTGATGAAACGGCTGTGGGGATTTCTGTGGGAGGGGTGTTATGCCAGGGGAATGGAGGTGGGAGGGTGATGGGGCTGTGCCCCATCTCCTGGGCTGGGTGCAGGATGTGACCCATCGCCCGGATGGTGCTGGGTTGGGCCAGGACTCTGCTCCCCAGGTTTTGCAGGGTTTGGGGACACAGGGGACAGCTCTGGCCTCACCAGCTGGGAGAGGAAGGCAGCAGCCGAGTCCCAAGGGGCGAGAAATGGCCGGAAACAGCGGCTATAAACAGCAGGGGAAGTACGAGGTTCCTCCACGCTCAGCCCCAGAGATGAGCCCAGGGGGTGTGTGGGGCAGCACCCAGAGCTGCTGGGCTGGGGGGGCTTCAGCAG